TTCCACGGCCTACCCAGCCACATTAATAGGAAGATGGACTAGAAGCAGAGGACCCGGACTCAGAATAGGACTACAGTATGGGCTGTCATCTTCCCAAGCTGCAATTTAAGTGCTGCACTATGTTGACTGTATTGTTTTTCCTCAGTAGGATCTTTTTAATGTGAAGGGTTTAACATGCATTAACCAGATCCTAAATGAGAGGTCAGCTTGTTTTGGGGATTATTTCACTCTGGCCTCTGAAATTCCAGCTGCCAACTGAGTGATTGATGGCAAAACAGACCAAAACTTGCAACAGACTTGTTAATTTTTACAGATTCCATTTATCAAGTGAGAAGTCTCCCATTCCATTTTCCTAGTGATCAGCAGACAAGGAATTGACCTTAGGATAAATTGTGCTAGGGCCTTGCTTGTATCTGCTTAGATGAAACTTAGTATTTTAGAATTGCTGCTCCAAGAATAACTTTAATTATTGAAGCTAAGACAAAGGTAAAATACTTCCTTGAAAAATGTTCCTGATTGAGCTGAACTGAGTAGGGCTGACTCATAGACCCTCTGGTATGTGCAAAATCTGGCATTAGGAGAGGTTTTGATAGAGGAGCCTGGTCAACTCCTCTGGCAGGACACAGACCCGGCAAGAAGCATGATAGGAAACAGCCCAGAAGAGGCCATGGAAAGTTTCCTACTGGCATACATTTGGCATGGGTCGGGGCAGACCAGTTGATATCACCAACTGGCAAATCCGAGCACCAGAACAGAGTGTTGACTGAGCCAGGTTCGGTCACAACAAAAACCAGTGCACATTATGGAATGCCAAGGTGAGGTGAGCTGTACCAGATGTGGCCCAGTGCCCAACCAGCACACGTGAGAACCAGGGAGGGAGGGGACGAAGCCAGTAGAGGGAAGGAGGGGATTCCCCTCCTGGACAGCTACTCCCACTGGAGAGTGTGAGCTAGGATGGGGGCAGACCAGACCAGGCAGGGCTGTAATACCTGTTGTCCTCATGTGGACTAGATCAGGGAAAAGCCAGGTTGGGCTCATTGTTTCTACTGGTGGAAGCATAAATTAGAGTGGGTACAGTTGGCTGGGCTTAGCCGCAGCATCCGCTGGCAGAAGCTGGCACTGGAAGCTAATACTGTCAAGTTAAACTGCAGAACCACCTGGAGAGTGCATGATGCAGGAGAGGGAGTGGCCTAAAAGGGAAATAGTGGGCTCCTCCCTCTTGGGTTGCCACTCCCACGGGAGGGCATGAAAACCAGGACAGGGGCAGGGGTGCCTAGACAGAAAGGCACCCAACAGTATGTGTGTGGGCTGGCTGGATGGTGGAGCTGGTTAGGTTGAACTAGGCTTCAATACCCATTGACATGTACAAGAGCTGACGCAGATGTGGGACAGATTGAACTAGTCTGCTGCACATTCTGGCAAGCTCGGGAACCAGGGTAGGGGCGGGCCTGGTGGGGGTTATTGTGGGTCGCTATGACTAGGCTGCAGCTCACACTGGTTTATGTGAGGGCCGAGTATGTGCTAGGCAGAACCAGGCTGGACTGCAACACCCACAAGGTTCCAGGGGAAGTCGGGGCTGGAAACAAAACCAACCCAGCAATTGCAACCACCAGCTGATTAGGGTGATGGACTGTGTATGTACTTGCAAGTACATACAAGAATCTGGTCTGGGTTCACCTCAAAGTCTCTTTAGGGATTCCCCCCAATTGAACTGCCAGACTCAGAACCCTAACCGTGAAAAAACAGAGGACAGAACAAGTCAATCAACTACCCCAGCCACATGTTGGCAGTGAAATACTGGGCAAATGGTGACTCTATGATGGACTATGTCAATCAGAGGATTCTTCAGCGACTTCATCGTGCTTGGAGTGGTGAGATTGGCAGCAATTCATAACTGTTGAATTATCAAAACCACTTGAGCAAGACCCTCGGAGCATACCCCACATCTGGGACCTGGGGTGGGTGGGAGACTGGGTGGGGCTTTTCCCTTTACCTCTCCCTTTACCCCAGATATAGGAAAAAAAAACTATGTGGAAATAATAGTTTTACCTACTTTCCTGTAGCCCTTGAACCTTTTACCCTAATTAACTATGTAAAGATTGGCAAAAATAAAAAAAAATAAATAAAGATTTGTATTTAAAAAAATGATCTTGATATAACTGGGAATTTGCTGTCAGATCTAACACAAAGGCTGGAAAAATAACCTCCCCATTCAACTGTACTTTTCTTTTTACTTTATGTCTTTCTTTCATCTCGGCTAAGAATATCAGAGTAACTTTCAAAGAACCATACCAGGATATAGTCTTGAAAACAGAAAATAATTTGAGTAGTTACTCACTTCTGAACTTTATCCTTTAAAAGAAAGCCAAAACAGAATAAGAACAACAACAAAGCCCCACAAAATACATGAAGAAAGCAGTTTATAACTCCTGTGTAACGATGTCAAGAAAGAACTCAGCTCTTGAACACCAAGCAGACACTTGTGGGAGAAATGGCAATCAAGAAACATTTTTTGGTATCATATTTCACATTTTAAAATGTAAAAAAAAAAAAAAAAGACATTCTACTTCTTACATTCAACAGTTAGAGTTGAATTGCTAGAGAGGTAGCAATGTTGAACCAGGAGATACAGGCACACAGAACTCTGATGAGTGTCTAAGGACTATAAACTAAAGTTTTGGCCTGGCACCATGGCCTAGAAGCTAAAGTCCTCGCCTTGAAAGCACCAGGATCCCATATGGGGTCCGGTTCTAATCCCGGCAGCTCCACTTCCCATCTGCTCCCTGCTTGTGGCCTGGGAAAGCAGTCGAGGACGGCCCAAAGCCTTGGGACCCTGCACTCACATGGGAGACCTGGAAGAGGATTATCTGGGCTCCTGGCTTTGGATCGGTGCAGCACCGGCCACTGTGGCCACTTGGGGAGTGAATCACTGCACGGAAGATATTTCTCTCTGTCTCTCCTCCTCTCTGTATATCTGACTCTGTAATAAAAATAAATAAATCTTTAAAAATAAATAAATAAATAAAGTTTGGTAGAGTGCTTTCCCTTCAGTTCCACAACCATTATCAAGTACATATCAAAGAAACCCTGCTTAGCCCACAGGGAACACATGTGTGAATGAGACTCAAGGCCTACACTGCAAAAAGTTAAAACCAAGTTCTTGACAAATGATGACACTATCAGGTGAGCGATCTAAATTGCATTCGTGATGAAAAGAGCTCTGGGAGTTTTAAGGAGAATGGAGTTAATCTGATTGAAGGAATGAGAGTGTAGAATTCATGGAAAGCAGGGAAGGCAGACACACAGTAAGAAAATTCTAGGTAAATGAAAAATGTTCATCAATCTCTTTGGATAAGATAGTCCAGGGAATGTTCTGGATGCCTGATAGTTCCAGTTCCTCACAGCACAGACTACGGGGGAAGGGACACAGTGGGAGTTAAGCCTGCTGAATAAACTAGAGGGGTCCCAATAGTGAAGCACAGCCCTCCAGTCCACATTCTCTTGTGTACTTGTATACATGAATGGCCTGCAGAGCTGACTTCTGAAAATGACTACTTGAAAGCCCCACCTAGATTTAATTTATTGATCAGGCATCATCATCATTGCGACTCTATTATTATTTTCTCATATAAAAAGACTAGATGGTTTTTACGGCTAGACTAATTTATCACTAACTATATGCAGACACAAATATTTACCTGTTCATTGCAATTAGCCTTAAAAATTAGGAAAGCTTTCAGTGCATAGTGCAGTAGCCTTTTTTTATTTCTAGTCAGTTTTTGAATTATATAATAATTCTATACATTTCAAAAGTAGATTTTTAAAATGACAACAGTATGTGTGTGGGCTGGATATTTGGGCTCATTGGGTTGAACTAGGCTTCAATGCCCATTGACATGTACAAGAGCTGACGCAGATGTGGGACAGATTGAACTAGTCTGCTGCACATTCTGGCAAGCTCGGGAACCAGGGTAGGGGCGGGCCTGGTGGGGGTTATTGTGGGTTGCTCTGACTGGGCTGCAGCTCCCACTGGTTTATGTGAGGGCCAAGTATGTGCTGGGCAGAACCAGGCTGGACTGCAACACCCATTGGTTCACATGGAAGACAGCACTGGAAACAGAACCAACCCAGCAATTGCAACCACCAGCTGATTAGGGTGATGGACTGTGTATGTACTTGCAAGTACATACAAGAATCTGGTCTGGGTTCACCTCAGACAAAGTCTCTTTAGGGATTCCCCCCAATTGAACTGCCAGACTCAGAACCCTAACCGTGAAAAAACAGAGGACAGAACAAGTCAATCAACTACCCCAGCCACATGTTGGCAGTGAAATACTGGGCAAATGGTGACTCTATGATGGACTATGTCAATCAGAGGATTCTTCAGCGACTTCATCGTGCTTGGAGTGGTGAGACTGGCAGCAATTCATAGCTGTTGAACTATCAAAACCACTTGAGCAAGACCCTCAGAGCATACCCCACATCTGGGACCTGGGATGGGTGGGAGACTGGGTGGGGCTTTTCCCTTTACCTCTCCTTTTACCCCAGATATAGGAAAAAAAAACTATGTGGAAATAATAGTCTTATCAATTTTCCTGTAGCCCTTGAGCCTTCTTATCCTAATTAACTGTGTAAAGATTGTGAAAATATAATTTTAAAAATGGAAAAAGTAAACAAAACAAAACACAACAACACTGGTCTCTTACTCCCTGGACATTTCAAATCTCTGTAAAATCCTCCAAAGCGGAGGATCTGAACTTTAAGGACTGTATAAGCTCTTTAAAAATCGGTCTGTTCCCAGGCAAATTATATCGTATAAGAAAATACCCCTTTTTATAAACAGGCAGAATGACAGAACACAATACAACAATATTTATTTAGTAGGTCTCTCTAACCTAAGCTTAAAAAATCACAGACATACTCTCAGCCTGAATCTCCCAAATGATAACTCTTTGGCTGCAACACAGATGGAAGAGAAAATCAAAAAATGAACAACTTACTATTTTCTGAGTTGCTCAGCGCTCCAGGTTTCAAGGACCTGTCCACCACGGGTGGCTTAGCTGGTCTTATAACTGTGTTACAGTCTGCAGGCTGTGTGGATGAGACAGGTGAGGCAGGGAACACATCTAAAGAAGGACCTTCCAAGTCAGGCACCAGAAGACCACCCAGGCCAGGGTCCACCTTCCCAAACTCTTGTACAATTTTCAGTCGCTCTTTTTCCAGCTCTTGGTTCCGGATCATCTCCTCAAAGGCGTGGAACTGCTCTTGTTCCAGCTGCTGCTGCTTCTGTTGTGCTACCCTCTGTTTCTCCTTTTCCAATTCTTGCTGGATGGCCATATTTCGGGCAAATTCCTCTGCTTCCTTCTTCTACAATTAAAACAAACAAAAACAAAAAAACTTTGGCTAACACTTTCCACCTCAGGGCCTCCTGAGACATACTTTTCCAGCAGGATTTCCCAACCTGGCAGCCATGCTCCTCCAGGACCTCTACACCCATCAGATCCAGTCACCACCCCTTTCGATCCAGCTGCTGTGCAGGTATCTTTAGGAAAGTTAAAGCCTCAATTCTTTCAATGTCTTACCACAATGACTCTACCTAATATAATTTTTTCTTTACTGAAATCTCAATACAACTTATTTTCCATAGCCCTTAGCCTCTATCACATACTGTTTTATTCTCTTACATTGCCAAGTATGTATTCTGCATCCCAAAAAGGATATCAAATCAAATCCAAATTTACATCTGCTGTCTTGGGAGCTTCTACTGAATTTTAACCCCAAATGAAGTTTTTCTAGTGATCAATCCAACAGAATGACATTTGAAATTAATAAGAAATATCAGGTAGAGATGATCACTGACTTAATAATAGTTGGTCTTATAATTTTGTAACTTTACAATGGAAAAGTGATACACATTCAGGAGAAAACACACTTTGAGTTTTGAGCTTTTTCTGGACTAGCCATTTGCAGTATGACATCTTTGGTGATGTTTCAGTTCTTGCCATCCACATGGGAGATCTGGCTCCTGGCTTTGCCTGGCCTGTCTATGGCTGTCTCAGGCATTTGGGGAGTGAATCAGTGGTTGAAAAATCCCTTAGTCACTCCATTTCAAATAAATAAATACTTTAGACAAAACAATCAAAAAGCATATATCTCATCACGCCTCTGTTTATTTTCCTTATCAGAATTGAAAACGATGCCCAGCAGACAGCTACACGGGTGATGGAGAGGCGTAGTCTGCATCCATGGCTGACTCAGGGCTATTTGCAGGGCTCTGTGAGCTTTTCCACATGCTTTAAGACACTGCCTGACAAGAAGCAACTGGAATGGCTTTAAGACACAATGATGATAAACACTTCTTGGTGTACTCAATCGTGAGTCAAATCCCCCAATCTGATTTAAAAACCTGTGCTTTCACGAGAATTTTCAGTGTTGAAGTTCTCACTCTAAGTGCAGCAGAAAGGCAATAGGTTTTCTGTCACCTTCTCTGGCCAAGTGAGCTACATCTGTGTTGCAATTCTCAGCCTAACCATTGGTCTTCTGCTTATTAAGGTGACTGGCTTTTGTCCCAATACATCAGACTATCACAGCCTCTGTTAAAAGTTATTACGGGGTTGGTGCGACGGTTCAACTAATCCTCACCAGCAAATGTTGGCATCCCGTATGGGGGCTGGTTCATGTCCTGAATGCTCTACTTCCCATTCAGCTCCCTGCTTGTGGCCCAGGAAAGTAGTCAAGGACAGCCCAAAGTCTTGGGACCCTGCACCCGCATGAGAGACTGGAAGAGGCTCCTGACTCTTGGCTTTGAATTGGTTTAGCTCTAGCCATTGAGGCCATTTTGGGAGTGAAAAAAAAATCTTAGAAAAAAAGATATTACAAACTCAAAGCATAGATTACAAAAACAAATGAAATAATTTTTTCTTTGATGCTATATACTGACCTTTTTCTCATTATATTCTGTATATTCTTTGGTGTATCGTTTTAATAGCTCAGCCTTCAGTTCTTCTGCTTTGGGAAATGCAACCTCCTTTAATTTCTGAGATATAAAACAGAAAAACAGAGTTAAGAAAATATGGGCTAAGTTAGCAGGACAGTATAAAGGAGACTTCAGTCAAGTTGGCAATGGCAATAATATTTCTGAAAATGGTTTGAAACATAACTCTCCTTACTGTTCCACATTCGTTTGCTTCATCACCATTCTGCTGAAATGGTCTTATCTCCTATCACAGGATTTGATTTGCAAGCAGAGACTACAACAAGATTTCTTGGAAAAAGTTCGTGGAACATGGAACTAAGTTTATCTTCATGTGAAAAGTTTTTACAATCCATGCAGCTTTTTCATAATAGCATTTACGAACTTTTTGAGAACCCTTTGTACTTTAGTTTTGAAGTTAGCCTATGCTCTTCTGATGCTTTTAGACAGGCAACATCGAAAATGAACACCCACCTTTATTGTGTCTTTCTTTTCAGGAATGACTGCCGATTTGTAATCTCGATGCTTTGGTAACTTCTCAATAAAGAGTCTAAGGGAATAGAACAAATTGATTATGTTGCAAAGAAAATGTTCAAATGCCCACAAGCCCCTGAAGTCACGCGATCCTCTGATGCTGCAGCCACTGGATTAGGGTTTCCAGAAGAGCAGGAGAGACAGAGGCACATCCAGGCAGGCCATGTTTCTTGGCCACATTCCCTAAGCCATTGCTTGTTTGTTTTTTTTGTTTTGTTTTTTTGGTTTTTTTTATTGATTACATTGCATTATGTGACACAGTTTTATAGGGACTGGGATTGCCCCCTCCCCTCCATTGCTTCTTAAACTAGGTATGTGGCAGCAAGCACCAGGTTCATGTAACAAAAAGGATGGCCAAAACTCCCCCAAAACGCTATTCTGTGCCAAAAAAAAAAAAAAAAAGTTATTTTCAAAGAGCTAATTTTCTTGTGAAATAATGGTTTTCAAGGAGAGGGCCTAAATCACAAAATATTTTTCAGAGAGCAATTTGGCAGCCATGTACAGTAGTCCATGAAGAAATCATCATTATTCCTATCCCTAAACTGAGCTTTAATTCTGGCTTTTATTCTTTAGTACTAACGGTCCTCCAAAGAAGAATATTCCCTTTAATCATGCCAAGCGCTGAAAGGCACAAATCCTGGGATCAGCAATGTGGTATGGCAGTTAAGTAGTCCCTTGCCATGCTGACATCTCATGTAACTACCAGTTCATGCCCTAGCTGCTCCACTTCTGATGTAGTTCCCTGCTAATGCAGCTAAAAAAAATAGCAGAAGATGGTCCAAGGCCTTGGACCCCTGCATGTACGTGGGAGCTCCAGTAGAGTTCCAGGCTCCTGTTTCAACCTGGACCAGCCCTGGCCAGTATGGCTAAAGACTAAGCTGGTAAATGCAAGACTGATCTCTCACCAACTCTCTCTGTAACTCTTTCAAATAAACAAATAAGTAAATATTTAAAAAATGCCAACAGTGCATGTGTTATATGCATATAATAATTTTACCACACATGTGCAACATGCTTCATGATCTGATGGAAAATGCTTAGGTATAAACATAAATATATTTTCTGTAACTTCAATAACCTGTTCCATACTGGTTTCCATACTGAATCTCAGTCTTTACGAAATTGTACCATAAAATTCAAAAAATCAGAATAAAAATTCAACAAAAAATAAAACCACCACCAACAACAAAAACCACTAAATTTTCTCTTTAATTCCTTTTTTGGGAAAAATAAGGTTAAACAATTCACAAATCTCTTAAATTTATGATATTAAGAAGAGTAGAAACAAATAAAAGTCCAGTAACTTGTTATAGCAACAAAGCGGCAGACTGGTCCTTTTTTTTAAAGATTTTTTTTTTTTTTATTGGAAAGGCAGATTTATAGAGGGGAGACAGAAACAAAAATCTTCCATCCACTGGTTCACTCCTCAAGTGGCCACAATGACAAGAGATGAGCTGATCCAGAGCCAGGAACCAGGAGCTTCTTCCAGGTCTCCCACATAGGTACAGGGTCCCAAGGCTTTGGGCAGTGCTCAACTGCTTTCCAAATTCACAAGCAGGGAGCTAGAAGGGTAATGGAATAGCTGAGACACAAACCAGCTACCATACGGGATCCTGGAGGTTCCAAGGCAAGGATTAGCCACTAGGTTACCAGGCCAGGCCAGGCCAACTTGGCTTTCAACATCAGCAGGACAACTCTTTGAATCATCCCACCACCACTGCCTTCACTACTCCTGGAGCAACTGCACCTGCTGGAGCGGCTCTGAATCAACGATGTCTTTTAACAGAAATAAGTTGTAATACACGGAAACAGAAACTTGAGACCAATCAATTGAGGGCCAAGTGTCCATGGCTAGAGTACAGTTGTATTAGACTCTTTCTGACCTTCTGCGTGTGGGGTGGGAATGGAACAGGAAACCTCACTAAGGGAGAAAGAGGAAGACCCTCTCCTGCTTAACCCAGTCAAAGCAAACCCTCCAGAGATAAGCCCTCCTCTGTCAGTTCTATATTAAAGCACATGAAATGCTCATTTCAATCCAACCTGACCAGACTCCTCAGGCACAGATGAATTCCAAAATCAAAATGGTTCTAAAAAGCTTTCCTTTAGGTTCATGAAAAAGAGATTAAAATTTTTCCCTTGAAGTCTATACTTAAAACAAGTACAGATTCATTTATTCAAACCACAAGATCTGGAAGAAGACACAAGGATTAAATAAGACCTAGTTCTTGTATTCTGGAGACTGAAGACTTCAGCACCCAGCAAATCTCCCACTGTGTGTCCATAGACCAAGGTGTGTTTTCACCAACTCTGCCAGGCAGAATGTGTGTTGTTCTGGCGCTTGAGTCAGCCAGCAAAGCAGTGCATTGTACAAACCTCACACTTTAATTTATGTTTTCATTACAGAACCAGACTGTAAGCTTCCCGCAGCTGAAGATTTCTAATTCATACTGCTTTCTATATACCTCTAAAGCCAGCACAGTGCCTTGAAAGAGGCATTCAATAAACATTGGATGGATTAAATGTACTGACAACCTTTCCATGAGCTGAATGAAAAAAGAATGTGTAAAGTGTATACCACATGCTATTTTACGTGTAAGAAAGAGTGGATGAGCTTGGTGCAATGGCCCCAATGGCTAATTATCCCCTTGCAAGTGCCGGAATCCCATATGGGTGTCAATTTGTGTCCTGGCTGCTCCACTTCCCATTCAACTCTCTGCTTGGGGCTTGGGAAAGCAGCAGAGGATGGCCCAACACCTTAGGACCCTGCACCCATGTGGGAACCTTGGAAGAGGCTCCTGGCTTTGGATCAGCTTAGCCCTGGCCATCACAGCCACTTTTAGAGTGAACCAGCAGATGAAGGATTTTTGTCTCTGTCTCTCCTCTATGTACAACTGCCTTTCCAACGGAAACAATATTTTTTTTAAAGGAGGGTTATAGGGCCCGGCGCGATGGCACAGTGGTTAAGGTCCTCGCCTTGTACGCCCAGGATCCCATAGGGGCACCAGTTCTAATCCCGGCGGCCCTGCTTCCCTTCCATCTCCCTGCCCGTGGCCCGGGAAAGCAGTCAAGGACAGCGCAAGGCCTTGGGACCCTGCACCCGCGTGGGAGACCTGGAAGAGGCTCCTGGCTTCGGATTGGCTCAGCTCCAGCTGTTGCGGTCACCTGGGAAGTGAATCATTGGACGGAAGATATTCCTTTCTGTCTCTCCTCTCTGTATATCTGTCTTTCCAATAAAAAAAAATAAACAAAATAAATCTTTTTAAAAAAAGGAGGATTATATATGCTTATGTATATACAGAGTATTTAAAAAGCTCATGGGAGGGCCCGGCGGCGCGGCCTAGTGGCTAAAGTCCTCGCCTTGAAAGCACCCAGGATCCCATGTGGGCGCTGGTTCAAATCCCGGCAGCTCCACTTCCCATCCAGCTCCTTGCTTGTGACCTGAGAAAGCAGTCGAGGACAGACCAACGCCTTGGGACCCTGCACCTGTGTGGGAGACCCGGCAAGAAGTTCCTGGATCCTGGCTTCGGATCGGCATAGCATCGGCCATTGCAGCCACTAGGATTGTGAATCATTGGACGGAATATCTTCCTCTCTGTCTCTCCTCCTCTCTGTATATCTGACTTTCCAATAAATAAATAAATCTTTAAAAAAAAAAGTTCATGGGAAATGGAATTATAAGGTGATGTGAACAAAATTAAAATCCATACTTATGTAGTATATTCTAATTTTTAAAGATTTATTTTTATTATTTTTTATTGGAAAGGCGGATGTACAGAGAGGAGAGAGAGGAAGATCTTCCGTCCGATGATTCACTCCCCAAGTGAGCACAACGGCCGATACTATGCCGATCCGAAGCCAGGAGCCTCTTCCGGGTCTCCCACACGGGTGCAGGGTCCCAAAGCTTTGAGCCATCCTTGACTGCCTTCCCGGGCCACAGGCATGGAGCTGGAAGGGAAGTGGGGCTGCAGGGATTAGAACCGGCGCCCATATGGGATCCTGGGCGTACAAGGCGAGGACCTTAACCACTGCACCAGGGCACCAGGCCCTATTCCAATTTTTAAAAGATTTATTTATTTATTTTTTGAAAAAGGAGATAAACAGAGAGAAGGAGATACAGAGAAAGATCTTCCATCTGCTGGTTCACTCCCCAAGTGACCACAACACCTGGAGCCAATCCTCCCCAAAGCCACGAGCCGAGAGCTTTTTCACAGTTAGGTGCAGGGTACCAAGCCATCTTCGACTGGTTTCCTTGGCCACAAGCGGGAAGTAAAACAACTGGGACATGAACCAGTGCTCATAAGGTATCTCATTGCGTGCAAGGCAAGGATCCAGCCACTGAGCTACCGTACCAAGCTCCTTTAGTTCCTTGAAGATATTAAAAAGAAAACAAGTATAATGAGAAAACTATGCATGAATTTCAAAGAAATTTTTTTGCATCAAAATAAACATGTATTATTGTTTACCTGGAAGTCAGAAACAGACAGAGAGCTCCATCTACTGGTTCTATCCCCAAATGCCAGTAATGATGGCCTGCCAGTCTAGGCCAGAATCTTCCAGGTCTCCCACACAGGTAGCGGGAACCCAACCACTTGAGCCATTGCTGCTGCCTCCCAGGATCCTTATCACCAAGAGACGAAGTCAGGAAGGATGCTGGTTTCAAACTCAGATTTTGGTGTTCTGACTGGTGTCTTAACGAGTAGGCATAACATCTGCCCTAAAATTGATCTTTAATTTCAATTTTCCATGAACTTCTCAAAGTATGTTTATATATATTTATGTCATGTAGGAGAACATTAAAAAAATAAGGAAGTACACACCGAAACTAACAGAAGGCAGTGAAACAGAGTGAATGAGCCAAGAGTATGTATGTGTCAATCATTTCACCATATATCTTTTTATACTACTTTGACTTTGAACCAACTAATGAAATCCAGTTTGTAAGTGAAGAGATAATTCCCAGACTTACACAGGAATTCCTTTGCTTTGTTTTAGCCAATTTCAGTCAATTTTCTCAAT